CTTTCGCTGGGGGTTGTGCACCAGAGTCAATGGTGTCTGAGAGGGCTTCTGGCTGAGGTCTGTATGCACTTACTAATGGTATCTTGGCAGGCTTCTGGCTGTTGCTTGCCTGCCTGCATAGCTTTTTTCCAGGTGGGCCTTTGGCTGGGGCCTGTGGATCCAAGCTTCTGGTGTCTGGTGGGGCCACGGCTGGGACCTGAACCCACCTGTGTAGCTCTGATCCACGCAGGATCTCTCTGGGATCTGTGCGCACTTACCAATGGAATCTGGGTGGGCCTTTGGCTGTTGCTTGTGTACCTGCACATCTCTTTTCCATGTGGGACTTTGGGGCCTCTGGGCCCAAGCTGCTTGAGTCTGGGTGGGTCCCTGTCGGGGACCTGTGCATACCCACTCTGCTCTGGTCCACATAGAGTTCTCTCTGTTCTTTGGACAAGATCTCACTATGTATTTCACACTGGCCTTGAACGATGTAGCCCAGGCTGGTCTTGAATTTGCCAAGATTCTGTTGCCTCACAGCCTCCTGGGTGCTGGGATTACAGGTGTACCATCATGCCTGGTCAATTTTTGTTTCTGTTATAAACAAGAGTTTACCATTCCCCTAGTGGTTAATTTTATTTATCTAGACCTAGTGATAGGTTTGGGCTAAGACTGTCACATACTCTCCTGATCATATATCGGTGATATATACAGTACTTGTAATTTTATGACCAGGCACAGAACAAAGCAGTTGCCATATTGCATCAGACTCAAGATTTATCATGCTCTTCATTCTGCCATTACCAGAGGCACTAAAGATGAAACACTTTGTGAAGAGGTAAACTCATCATTGAAGTCAATTGCAAAACATACATGTTCTTCAATTTTGTGCACCCTTTAGTAACTCTAATTTATTATCTGCTATATTTTTGGCATCTGCATAGGTATCTGCTGTCCAGCCTCCCAGTGTACTTATGCCATTTCCTCCCTTCTTACACCATTCTGGTTTCAAGAAGTGTCTTTAATAGTCCTACTATCCAAAGATCTAGCAATTTCAAATTTCAAATCTCACCAATTTTTGAAGTTTCCTTTCTCTGGGACTTCCCTAGGGCTTGTTTTTTCTTTTTATGTCCACCTACTAGTCCTGCACTTTCTGGTGAGGTCATGTCCACAGTCAAGGACATGATCAAACTGCTAACATCTTTGCCTTGTCTTAAATCTAAAGAGCAAAAAGCTGGGCGTGGTGGCACATGCCTGTAATCCCAGCACTCGGGAGGCTGAGGCAGGAAGATTGCTGTGAGTTCAAGACCAGCCTGGGCTACATAGTGAGTTCCAGGTCATTCTCAACTACATAGTGAGACCCTGTCTCAAAAAAACAAACAAACAAAAAATAAAATAAAGAGCAAAGCTGGGCTTGGCTGGCATGCATGAAGGAAGGACCCAAAGAGGGGCTTTTTGCCACATTCTGTTGGAGATGTCAGAAGCAATAACTAAGCATGTCAGCACCCAAGAGCCCTTCACTACCACTCCTTGCCCATAACCCAGAGCCCAGGATGGGCACAGTAGATGAAAAGAGCACAATCCTTGACCTTCAAAACATACTGACCAGTCAGAGAGCCCTCTGGAAGTGCATTACTCTTCTGCCTTCCTCAATGAAAACTATCCACCATGGAAGTTCTCTAGGAACCTGAGTGGTCTCATCTCAGTGGCTCCCTAAGTCATCCCCTATAAAACAAAGAATTTAACCTCCTCCTTAGCCTGGGCGAAAAGACAGTTCTAAAACAGGTTCTCATCAACCAAAAGGAAATAAAAGGAGGAATGGGAATCTAGCCTCCTCGGTGAAAAGTGCAGGTCACCTCAGGTAGGACAGCAGCTTAATTTGGGCTATTTCTTGGCCAAGTTCATGGTAGTCCACTGTTATCTGCAGTGATTCCTATTGTCTGCCATGATTCATGATCCTGGCTTTATAAGGTCCAGCCTGGTCAATCAAATGGAAATCCTGTATCTATCAAATATGCAAGAGTAGCACCAATCTCTGCCATTCCCAAGAAAATCATATCCTTGCTGAACTTCCCTGACAGGGCTGCAGTATTTTCAGGAGCTCCCACCATATTTCACCATGTTCATAGCCTCTCATTTAGATTTCAAGCATAAAGATGCCAACAAAAGACATTTTTCTACTACAATAGATCTCAATCTGTACATAAAGAAATCAAGGTGAAGGTTCTACCAATTAAGTATGTCCATTCCAATCACACACTGAGGAACCAGGAAAATGACCAAGTGGGTCCACACAGCCAATGGATCCAAAGGGTTATGGACCTGAGTTAAGAGTCCATTTACTTGACTCCCATATGCTTCTGGAGGGGGAGAAGAGTTTTGGGTATTTGTTTCTAATATAGAACTACCTCGGTAAAAGGTCAGGGTCTCTTTAGAATAAATGGGGAAATCACTCTATATGTACTTGCCATCCATCACATTGTAGGATCCTTCCTCAAGGCAACTAAAATCAATGGGCTCTTATGAATGTTGAAACTGAGCCAGGGATTGTGATTTCTCATTGGTATAGTTGGCTCCAGACTTCTGTTCATTTGTTCTCCCAATTAACTATATTAAGCAAAGCTCTTATTAGACATTTCCATATATTCCTAGTCAGCCTCTGATCTGCCCATCAGGCACTGCTGCCCATCACAGTAATTGTACCCACTTTGTTCTGATAGTTATATTCTGCTATTCCAACATGTACCATCACTTTTGATATTAAGAAGCCCAGTTGTTTAAGAGCATCTCTTACTATCAGTTCAGCAAGTGAGGACAGCCAATAAGCTTTTCAGTGATGCTTATGCTCCCATCCCAACCAGTGCAGTCCTTATTGTCTTAGTAAAGAGCACTCTCCAGACCCTCCTAAGAAACAGTTAGTGGTAGCTTGCTTGGCCTTACATAATTTCAACCATTTCTTTATGAACTTTTCGATACTGTTGTCCAGCCTGCCATAGAAGTTCTGGCATCTCTACATCATTTAATATGGGTCTTGTCTTTCCTGATATTTTCTCATTTTTTTAAACAGTCCTATTATTTTCTCAGGCTGATTCAGCCAGGGCTCCAGCAATCCTGCCTCAGCCTCCCAAGAAGATGGGATCATATACAGGCGTGTGCCACCATGCCGGCCTTTCCTAAACTTGCAAGAATCATCCAAATAGTTTATTAGACTCACTTACCCCTTATAATTTTGTTAAATTCTGTCACACACAGAGTAACCTCAAGCTTTCCAAATTTAATTAAGTCCCTGGTCAGCACTCTTAGGATCCATTCTCAGGTTTCCAGTCCTGCCAGTACATTCTAACCAAGATCTGTGACTCCTTTTGTATAGAATCAATGTCCTTTCTTATCAGACCTAGCACTTGTAAGGTCAGGTTACTGTGAGACCTGATCCTCCTAATGTGTCTGGTAGACAGACAGGGAGGTAGGAGCAAGTTCTGAGGATCAGCGTTGTCTTGTTCTTCATCTGTTTCATTCCAGGCATCTACTCTGTTTCAGAAAAGTGAAAGCTTCTATTTTCCAATAGGATGAGTTCAAGGGAATTTAGGGATTGAAAAGTACACAAGTATGGTTATTCATATAGTCCTATCTTTTCCACCTCTTCCCTAACAGAGCCCTGACTTTGATTAGAGACATCTTGGTTGTGAATTTGGGCTTTTGTAAAGTTCAGCCCTTTTCCATTAAATCTCACAGGTGAACGTTAGTTCTGGGACTATGTCTGTAGATGGGGGTCTCTCTCACACTTTTCATTAGCTTGCTGGCTATTCCCTGTCATTTTCTATCTTCAAAGAGGCAGTGACTTTCAGCAGAAATACTTATCCTATAATCATTGTATTATATCCCTGTTTGTCCCAAACCTTACATAAATCAGTTCATCTTTTCCACCTATAATCCAACCCAGTTTACAGGTCAGTATCTAGTGATTGAACAGGTACTATATGATGAAACTAGCAATATTCCGCACTCTACCAGTGATGGGGTTCTCATGGCCTAATGGTGAGTGAACAACTCCACAAGCCATTCTTGTAGTCATCTTCCTAGGACCATTTATGGCACCAAGTGTTTTATGTGAGTTTCTCTAGAGTAGAGCCTAAGACAGGAACTCAGCACTACATAGATTTATTGAGTGTGCTCCTTAGGAAAAGCCCTGGGAATGAAAGAGAACAATGAAAAGAAAAAGCTAAGCATGGATGCGGCCTGATAAAATGTAGCCTTGGTCTGATCCCCAGAAGGTTCTGGGGTACAAACTGAGCCAGTTTTCCCTCTCATGGTAAGTGATCAGCCTTTTTTTTTAAAAAAAATCCCTGTCAATCATGTCAACCAGTGATTGGATGAGGGCACAGAGGAGAAATCTCCTGGGCTGAGGCAGTTCCCATCTTCTGAGAACAATCCCCAAATCTCTGAAGAAAGACAGCTTAGCCTTAGCTATACACTTAGCAGGCAAAACACAAGAGCTGCTGGGAAGTGGGTGTACCAGCTTAGTAAAGGAGTCTAGAGTGGGCAACACCATAAGTCACATATAAAATCAACAAATATTTCATGGGGACCAAAGTCAGCAGAAGCAAGACTTCAGCAGTACCTCTGAAGCATTCTCATTCTCTGTAGCAAACACTCTTGAGTCAACGTTCTTACCCAATGTTCTTATCATTCCCCTGAAAAATTCCCACCAATACCTTCCCACATGGCAGGTTGTACTGGACCACATCTATATCAGCTCCTTGTTAGCAATTCTGGTTGCAACGCAAGCTGAAACTCATTCTACACGCCATAACCCTATAAGGGAGGTCTAACCACAGGGTACTTGGGAACTAGAGCATATACTGCTTAGATTAAGATCTCTAATTCAAGCTAAGTGTGGTGGCATACATGTATAATATTCCAGCTCAGCCTGGGTTACTTAGCAAGACATGATCTCAAAATTTTAAAAAAATTTTCTTTTAAAAGAGCTCATCGCAAAAGCCCTGGGTTCAATGCTTAGTAACACACACACACACAAATTCTCATGGTTGGTCCGATTCACTCTATGGATTTGTGTGTACTATAAACCACCCACCAGTTTTGCCTTTCTTCTCTATCTCCCTAAGGTCCTTCTCACATACCTTAAGATGTGATTCAGAATACAGTTTCTCACAAATTTACAAATTTAACTTTTAACTAGATAACCTTGTCACTGGTATAATCAATATGAAAGTGAGATAGAGTACTTCATAAACAATTTGTAGATTGAATACAGCAGAAGGAACACATCTCATCAAACCCCTGAACCCCAATTTTGCCAAAATATAGATACCTAAGTCAATTTCTTTTCAAAGGGTTTAATACTTAAGATGGAAACAATGATTGGAGTATTTTAGTGGTTGGGATAATCATATCTAGAAAAGTTCATTGCTCACGTACCAAAACAGATATCATGCGTTAAGAGTTCTTTCACTGCACTCTTCCCTGAATCAATATGCTGTCAAACAAGGAAGACACTACAAATAAAGGTTATTTCTACTGTGCTCATAAAGCTTTCCTCAGAATCAATTTTCTGAAATTCTAATAAAGAATGAATGTCATCTGAAGGCTTTCCTTCATCTGCATATCCAGGGGTTCTCTTTTTTACCTAGATTTCTAAGCATAAAGATGCTACCCAAAGCACTTCTCAAAAGGGAAAGCAAACAGGTATTTACTCATTGTGGATGCTCCAGTGTTCCTTTAGGCTGAATTCTAACTGAAAGAGTTCAATATATCTGTAGATTTAATGGTTAAGTTAGAAAAATGCATCATATTGTTATTACACTCATTATAGGAATAAGGTCTCTTTAGGAAGGCTTCCCTACCATTGTACTGTTTTTTAATAGAAACATCTATGTGCTTAAGGTGTTTATGGGATCTGTCCTCTCATGGCTTCTCAGATGCTTAAAGAGGCTACAGCTCCAGCTGAAACTCATTCCACATTCTTTACACTGAAAAGGTTTCTCACCAGTGTGAATTCTCTGATGCTGACTAAGATGTGACTTCAGAGTGAAGCCTCTTCCACATTCATTACACTGATGGGGCTTTGCACTGGGACAGATTTTTTGATGTTTTATGTGGGAACACTGGCCAGTATTTCCTCTACATATATCACATTTATGGGTTTTCTCTGCAGTGTGAGTTCTATAATGTTGAATGAGGTCTGAACTGTAATTAAAGGCTTTTCCACATATGTCACATTTATAAGGCTGCTCTTGTAACTCAATCTTTTTGTCTTCAATCACAGTCAAGTTCCAACTGTATGCTTCTTCACAAATGCCATTTTTCTCATTTTTCTGACCCACATGGAGCACCTGATGTTCGATTAGGCTTACATACTGAAAGAAGATTTCTCCACATTCATGACATTGATGGGACTTTTCACGGGAGTGGAGTCGCAGATGTCCAGCAAGGTGTGAACGCCTTCCAAAACCTTTCCCACATTCATTACACTTAAAGGGCCGCTCCCCACTGTGCACACTCTGGTGCTGAACAAGATGAGACCTCACTCGAAACGCTTTTCCACATAAATGACAGGTGTAGGGTTTCTCACCTGTGTGAACTCGCTGATGCTGAGTGAGGTGCACACGTTGGTTGTAGCTTTTCCCGCACTCATCACACTGAAATGGCTTCTCCCCCGTGTGAATTCGTTGATGTTGAACAAGATGTGCACTCTGAATAAAGCTCTTTCCACATTCGTTGCATTTATGTGGTCTCTCTCCTGTGGAGGGTTTTTTGTGGATGTAAGTGACTTCACTATAATTCATCCTCTTTGAAGAAGGCTGTCCTAGTATCTCCATAGGAAGTCCCTGCTTTCTCTCAGCCTTGCTTTGGTGTTCATAGCCTTCTTCAAAACCTTGAACTTCAGAAGCATTCCTTTGGACTTTTTCTGATACTTCCATGTCTGCTTCTGAAAATTCTGAAATTTTGTTCTTAACATTCAGTTTTGCATTCTTCCTACTTCTTCTGTCACTGCCTAAAAAAGTTAAGAGCAAAAATGCAAATATTAGTTATTTTGCAGAAGAAAAAGAAAGTGTTGGGGTGGGGGTGGTAATTAAATGAAACTATCACAGAACAAAAGGGGATACACGTAGGTACATACCAAAAGGAAGGTATTTGTCCAGTGAAAAGAGCAAGACAAAAAAGAAATCTACTTAATGGAGAGTAGAAATGACTGAAGTTAGTCTATAGCCTTGCTGAGGTTAGGATAGGACAAGCAAAAAAAATGTCATTATCTGGAAGGAGTAAAAGGAATTCTGAAATGGGAGGGGACACAGGAATGAGGACAGATTTAGTACCCCAAAAGAAGTTAGCACACCAAATGAGGTAGAACAAAAACACATAACTGGATGGTGAGAACTGACAAAAACTGGAAGAAGGAAAAGACAAAGGATTAAAAAGTGTTTGGAATTAGGAAATATCTGACTAGGAGCCATGAAACAAGAAGCAAGTCAATAAAAAATATCATCAAGATCCCTGCCCCTCTCACCTGAGCTGACCCTCTTTAGTTTCTCTCATATGGAACCTCATACTTCTCAGATCCTTTCTTTGTTGTTATTTTTTGTTTTCTGAGCCAGAGTCTCATTATGTAGTAGTTCAAGCTGGCCTTGGACTATGTGGCCCAGGTTGGTCTCAAACTCACAGTGATCCTCCTGCCTTAGCCTCCCAAGTGCTGGGATTACAAGCATGTACCATCACACCCAGCATGCTTCTCTCATCTTTATCTGCCACCCCACCAGACCACAGCCTCATGAGAACTTCAATGGGATTTGTTCTATTCCCTGCCAGACCCTGAGCACTTAGCACTAGTGGCTCCAAAATAAGTGGCTGGATGAATGCATCAAGCACTTCTTCTCCGGTCCAAAAGAGTGGAGAAGGCTGAGAATAATGACTGGGAAATAAGTCTGAGGAACAACTGCAAGTAGGATGTGAAAGACACTTGAGAAGCAATTGCTTTTCAAGTCCAGAGAGTTATCAGACGGTCTTTCCAAATGGGGTAGTCCCCAAGAACAGGATAAAAATGGCTGAGACAGCTCAGCTCAACACAAAACCCTAAAGACATTATAAACTTCATAAATGTCTATACCATGAAGGAAGACATGACAGTGATGTTAGTGTGAATCATAAGTAGCTGAGCTTGAGGACATCAAGAGCATCAATTTTAAAATTAACATAATAAAATGTTCACTAAGTGTGGTTGTATACACCTCTAATCTCAGCAGTCAAAGGGGCTGAAGCAAGAGGATTGCAAGTTTGAGCCCAGCCTAATGACTTTGCAAGACTGTCTGAGGGTGAGAGGGATCGCAACTCAGTGTGAAGGCCCGGGTTCAATGCCCAGTACCACACACACACACACACACACACACACAAATAATAATAATTAATTTAATTTAATCAAAAACTTTGGCCAGTCTTAGTTGGCTGAAGAATACTAATAAAAAGTCTTAATGTTCACAGTTCAGTTTATAGTAACCTCACCCATATTTAATGTCATTTGAAAATATTTTCACAAAGTAAACAGGAAATTTTACACAACCTTATTCATAACCAAATTAAGGAAATCAACATAAAAACAAATTCTCTTCTGCTTACACAAATGGTTAAAAAATTTTGTTTTTGGTTTTGGTTTTTTTTTTTTTTTTTGAGACAGGGTCTCACTGCATAGTTGAGACTGACCTGGAATTTACTATGTAGCCCAGGGTGGTCTCGAACTCACAGTGATCTTCCTGCCTCAGCCTCCCAAGTGCTGGGATTACAGGCATGAGCCACCACGCCTGGCCTAAAAAATTTTAATAACCCTAGCAAAATTTTATTTACACTGATACTATATACAGTGCAACTGTTTTAGAAAGCAGTATAGTCATATAAATGTTTTTTATTTTTTCACCTACTAATCCCACAACTAGAAATCTATTATAAGGAAATAATCCTAAATATAGGAAAATGTATAGGGGCAACATGGTTATCGGGACAATAGATAAAAAATTAGAATTGTGGGCTGGGAATTTAGCTCAGTGGTTCCACTGCCTACCTCACACACGCAAGGTCCTGAGTTTGATCCCCAGTACCAAAAAAAAAAAAAAAAATTAGAATTGAATAATCAAAGAATAGTTGACTAAAGCTGAGTAAATTACAATGTCATTAATGATGGGAGGTTGTCCAAAATAACCAACAGGAAAACTGAAACACTGGAAAGTGCATATGTCACACTTGACTGTATTCTGTGACTAATGACACAAGTTCATTAAAAAAGATATAGGAAAACAAATTAAATAATGATAGCTTGGTTCCCTAGGATTCTGCATGTTTTATTTCTGTCTTCCTCTTTCCTCCAAATTTGATATACCACTGTTATCATTTTAAAATAAATAAAGTAACTATATTAAGAGAACAAGGGGCAGGGGAATTAGCTCAATTGTTCTGTTGCCTGCCTCACAAGTGCAAGGTCCCTGGTACCAACAAAATTAAAAAAAAAAAAAAAGGAGAGAGAGAACAAGGAACAAAGAAAGATGCACGTACAGAAGCCAAATTGTCAATTACTACAGAAAGGCTATAGAAAACTGGGCACAGAGGTACAAGCCTATAATTGTAGCATGCTGAGATGCTGAGGCAGAAGGATCACAAGTTTAAGCCCAGCCCAAGCAAGTAAGTAATTTTGCCAGACTCTGGCTCAAATTAAAGAATAAAAATGGCTGGGGATACAGCTCTGTGTAAAGGCTCTGGGCTCAATCCCCAGTACCCCCAAAAAGAATGTCTAAAATGTATGAGTCAAGTAATAGCAGTATTAGGTTAAAACAGGTAAGTGATAAAAGCAAGTACATTTTAGGGGGAAAGGGAGGTTGTGGATAGGGGATAGAAGGGAATAGGGTTTTTTGCCTATTAGACGATTAAGTATAAATAAGAATATAAAAAACTGCGGTCTTTGTTCCTTCCTACTGCTCCCAGTATTAGAGCCCATTTGTCCTGCCCCACTAAGCTAATAAAACAAAATTTTGCCTTCATGTAATTCCTGAATACAAACCCCTCCCACGTACATATCTGGGACTTCTCCCGGAAGTGCCGTTTCAGATGCTCAATCAGGTGTGAGTGGCGACCAAAGCTCTTCCCGCACTCGTTGCACCCGTAAGGCCTCTCCCCGCTGTGGACACTGTGGTGCTGCACAAGGTGGGAGCTCACCCGGAAAGCTTTCCCACACACCTGGCACTTGTAGGGCTTCTCACCGGTGTGGACTCTCTGGTGCTGAGTGAGGTGCACGCGCTGATTATAGCTCTTCCCACATTCACCACACTGAAATGGCTTTTCTCCAGTGTGGATTCGCCGATGCTGAATAAAGTTGGAGGCTTGAAGGAAATATTTCCCACAGTCATTACATCTGTGCCCTCTCTCACCATTTGTGCTCTGCTTACGGTTCATGTCCGCACTAGTGCGAAGATCTCTCTTTTGGGAAGGATTTTGCCTCGGTTTCCCCATGGTGGGATTTACCTGCCACCTTTGTACCATGCCCTTAAGGTCACTAACTTCTGCAATCTCTTGACTCCGAGGAATATTTCTTTCGGTGCTTCCTACTGCCACCCAATGTGAGTTGGGTGAACTGGCTTCATTAGAAATCTGCTTGGCTACAAGCTCCCTGTTGTTGTCCTTGGGCTCATAATCTGAAATAAGAGAAGGAAAATGGGGAAATTAGCTATTCCTTGCATTATTGGAGATGATGCAGGGATACAGGATAATTAAGTGAAACCAACATGTGTTAGAAACACCTGACTTCGTAAATATGACTTGAAAATGAGGATGCAATAAATATTAAGCAGAAAACCAGGCAGGGTAGGCAAAGAAATGCTGGCAAGAACGGGCCAAAGAAATGGGACTGGAGAGCAGTCATCTAACTTAATGAAGAAGGTACGTGGTATTCTCTTGCTATAATACTTAAAGACAGTATCTGTGAATCTGTGAACACATGCACAGTATTAAATATAATATTCACCCCCTTTCTTTTTTTAATCTTTTTATTTTTTTCATTCAGGAAATCAAACCCAGAGCCTTGTACGTGCTTGGCAAGTGCTCTACCACTGAGATACATCCCCAGCCCATAAATACAATATTCTTTAAAAGATTTGACTTTGGGTTATGCAGCTAACCCCAGTGTTCACTTTCTTCTTCCTATAAATTCAGAGTTTGAAGAAAGACGATTTTTCTGGTTTTTCCAATCCCAAGAGGATATGAGTATGGTATGAACTTGTCTAAATGAGGGGGGAAAAAAGGATTTTTTTTTCTATACTAAGAGAAGAGCTAGGTGAACATGCAATAGTGATTTATTGATAGATGAATTTTTTAATGCCCAAGATCAGTTCCCTTGTACAATGATCAGCACAAATATTACCAGCTGATATTTTACTCAAAACATTGATGTTCAATATGATGTGCAGAGAGAAATCTTCACTAATTAACAAATAATAGGCAATATTATTTTTTATTTGTTTTGTTTTTGTTTTTTTCCAGTACCAGGGATTGAACCAGTACTTTGGGTTTGCCCGGCAGGCACTGCACCACTGAGTTATATGCCTGGCGGCAATATTATTTTTTAAATGCTAAAAAGATCATGGCCTATAGAGAATTTCCTAATAAGACTTCTGTGCTGCATCCTGTGGCATATGCCTGTAACATAGCTACCTGGGAGGCTCAGTCAAGGGGATCCCAAGTTTGAGACCAGCCTGGGCAACTTAATGAGACCATGTCACAAAATAAAATTTTACAAAAGGTCCAGAGATGTAGTAGTATGGTCTTGTGTATAGTGCTTTTCAGACAAATGGGAAACCCTGGGTTAAATTTACCATACCACAAGAGTAAAAAGAAATACTTTTGCAAATAAAATAATTTTCAACATGCAATAATGATAATAAGAATTAACATTTGCTGGGTGCTTACTCCAGGCCAGGAATTATGCCAAGCTGCTTTACAATTTTATGACATTATATAATCTTTACAATTACCTGTTGAGGTAGGTACTATTTCATCCTTTTTGACACAGTCCTAAGTTGTAATTTTTGTAGCATGAAGACAATTTTGGTTTTTATTCTATCTTGTGGTGGTGGGAACAAAACCAGGCCTCATACATGCAAAGAACACATTGTCCAACTGACCTACATCACCAGCCCTCCATGAAGAAAATTTTATTTTACTACATAGCTATTTTATTTTCTATTATCATTTTATTTTCTATATTTTAACAGTGGAAATTCATATATAAACAAACAAAAAAATCTACCATAAAACCAGACTTTTATGTTTTTTTCTCCCCCATTTAACAAGGCAGATAATCCCAATAATTACAGTACAAGGTATAAAAACAAAACATACAGTGAATGTTTAAATTTTTTTTGGTGATGGGTATTTGAGACAGGGTTTCACTATGTAGTTGAGACTGACTTGGAACTCACTATGTAGCCCAGGCTGGTCTCGAACTAACAGCGATCCTCCTGCCTAAGCCTCCCGAGTGCTGGGGTTACAGGTGAGCACCACGACGCCCAGCAATGAATGTTTAAATTTTTAAAAATTCATTACACTAAAAAAAAAAGTTTTATTACACTATGGCCAGGGATTTAGCTCAGTGGTGCCACCAACTGCCTCACAAACACAAGGTGCCGAGTTCAATCCCAATACAAAAAAAAAAAAAATTTTTTTATTACACTAAAAGACACATTGTCATCAGTTCCTCTCAAAATATTCAAAGGTTCTCCTTCACTTCAAAGATATTCCATCATTCTTGACAATGTGTAATAAAGTTTTTAAAACATAAACATTAACCATAGTTTTGAGTCATCCCTTGTTATCTCTATCTACCTGTGCTCATATATTGTATTCTTACTAGAATTCTCTTCCATTCAACAAGTCAAACAAAACAAGCACATACCTTTCTTTTTCCAGTGATAAATTTTAAAACCATCACAGCTCCATGTACCTCTGATATTAACAATTAGTATATTAACCCCAATTATTAGGATTGGGATATTAACCATTATCCTTTTCCAAGGAGAGGGGCTATATATATTGTGATACCAGTCTGTTTACACACTGGCTTCCTGCCCCCTCCCTTGCCTCTTCATGGTGTAAATGATAAGCTCTCTGATGAGAGTCTTGGTTTATGTGTATGTTCAACTGTCCTTGCTCAATGCTGTGCCAGGCTGCTGAGCAATGAGGGTAAGGGGATGTATAAAAAAGCTCAATCAGACTTCAAAATCATGACCTTCAACTTCATTGGTTCCCTAGCTTGTCCGTCTTTCTAAATTTGGCTCTTTTTCTTATTCATTTTATTTAACATCTATATAAAAATGTTTCCATTACTATATTTTTTAAATGGACTAATATATATGGTATGCTATTATTTTTTATGAACGTATATATAAAAAACATGTCTAGAACTGGGAGGGGCAGCATACCCCTGTAATCCCAGTACTCTGTGAGACAGAAGGATCCCAAGTTCAAGCCCAGCATGGGCAACTATAAGACTTAGAAAAGCCCTGTGCCTAAAATTAAAAAAGGGGTGAGAGGATATAGCTCAGTGTGGAGGTCCTGGGTTTGAACTCCAGTACCACAAAACAAACAAATACACAAACATGGCTAGAGATAATCAACATCCTGGTACTAATCACTGCCTTGCTGTCTATGGTGGTACACACCTGTAATCCTAGCATTCAGCATGTTGAGGCAGGATTTCCATGAGTCCAAGGCCAGCCTGGGCTACACAGTGAGTTCAAGGCCAGCCTAAATTACATAGCCAGACTGTATTTCAAAAAACAAACAAAAAATAATCATTGGCTCTCTGAGGAAAATTCTAGGTAGGTGCATTATTTTTCACTTTATACCCATTTATACTATTTTAATTTTTACTATGTGCATATATGAACCTTTTAAAGCCACAGTTCTCCACTGCACTACACTAAATCCACTACTGCACCACCTCCTACTTATTCTACTACCTGCTGAATCACCTACTCACTCTCAACAGGTGCCTTTCCTATTTTACAGAAAAGCAAAGCTTTCCAGCCAAGAGCTCCCTGAATGACCTACAGCCCCATCTTTGAGCTTACAAGAAGCCTATTTTTCATCCTCCCCTTGCTCACAATGGAGCCATGACTCTCCTTAACCAAGATCAATCCTTCATGCCTCCCATACTCTGGATCTCCCATGCCTTCTTGCTTTCCAGGGAACTCCCTAGATCATTTATTTGCTCTTCCTTACTTCCAACTTCTACTTTATTAGTTCTCTTGGAGTAGCACTTAAATATGCCTAAAACTTCTCCCCTTTAGAAAAAGGAGCATTCAGTCAGGCATGGTGGTGCACACCTGTAATCCTAGTAGTCAAAGGCTGAGGTAGGAGATAACAAGTCTGAGGCCAGTCTGAACTGGCCAGCCTGTGTACATAGCAAGACTCTGTATTCCCCCCCAAAATACAAGAATAATCCATCCATTCAACCCATGTACTCTCAGTGAGTAAGCCTCCCTCTTCTGCTTTAGAAACAAAGTTCTTGAAAGTTATCTAGAATACCTTCCTTAAGTCCCTCCCCGTTGCAGTTTTGAAAGACACTGTCTTATGTTCCCCAATATTCCAGCCACTTCATATCTCCAAGACACATTTATTTATTTTTTAAAATCTCATTTCCAAATATGTTGGATATTTTTAAAAATTCTAACCTAGAATGCTATTAGAAATCCACAAGCACAAAAACAATCAAACGTGGCCTAAGGAGGCAGAAACCACTGAACACGGTCTCAATGTAAAAGGGTAGACTGAAGTTGTAAAGATGTGCCAATGAAGATAATGAAAAAAATAAACAGAGAGTAAGAATCAAGAGCACCTGTGAAAGTGACATAGGAAAGAACTATGCCAAGAACTTCCAACTCGGAATGAAACCATTGAGACCCTGTATAGTGCCTGGAAACACATAGCAATACTAATAGGCTCCGAGTAGCTTCTGGAAGTTAAAAGGAAGAGAGAAAAGAAATATGTTCATTAAATACACCTTTTTTTTTCCCGGACAAGATCTCTCTATGTAGTTCAGTCTTGAATTTGCTGTGTAGCCCAGGCTAGCCTTGAATTCAAAGCAATCTTCCAACCTCAGTTTCCCAGGTACCGGTATTACAGATGTGCACCCATGCCGGGCTCGATATACATTTTACAATATAAATAATTCACTGAGACAAAAGACTACCCCTAAGATCCCAATAGACCAATGAACAAAGGAAATTCTTGAAAATACTAATACCAACCAAATATACCTCTTAAGTAAAAGCCTGTGAATGAACTAAATCCATGAGCCAATGCTGATTGCCATGCTTTTCAAAAGAAATCTGGCACTGAGTATGTATTTCACCTGATGCCCACCAGTGTGCCTGATATAAAGTGGTTGGTTCTTCTACAATGATTAAAAATCTAAAAGCCAGGCCAGGGATTTAGCTCAGTGGTGCCATGCCTGCCTAGCAGGCACAAGGTCCTGAGTTTGATCCCTGGTTCTGCAAAAAAATATAAATAAATAAATGCCATAATCCCCAAAATGTCTGCAACAATGCTGAGTTTTTTATCATCACTCTAGGCAGCACACAGGACCATTAGCTTTCAGGATCATAACTTAGTTAGATGTAAGGGTACAAATTCAAGAAGTGATATAATGTGTAAAATATAGATACCGAGGTGAACATCATAAAATAACGACCTGTGATCTGGAGTGGTATTGGAGTGTACTAGCCACCCATGCATGAGAAGAAAGGAGACAATGCCAGTGAACTGGGCACTGTAGTGTAAGCCTGTAAACCCAGTACTCTGGGAGGCTGAGGCAGGAGGATCACAAGTCAAGCCCAGCCCAGGCAACTCAGCAAGACTCTGTCTCAAAATAAAAAATAAAAAGGGTAGGGCTGGGGATTTAGTTCTATGGTTCCACCGCCTGCCTTAAAGAGTTCAAGGACCTAAATTCAGTCCCCAGTACCAATAAATAAATAAAGTACCAAATAAAAATAAAAAAGGGCTAAGGATGCAGCTCAGTATTAATGCCCTGGGTTCAACCTCCAGCACAACCCCCACCCCCACCCCCACAAAGAACTAGTACTACTGAGACATCGTAGTTACTAGTATAATTAATAACTATTTAGTGTGGTCTGAGAAGTATTCATAAATCAGAATTATTCTGTTAAGAATTATACAATTTGGGCTGGAGATTTAGCTCAGTGGTTCCACTGCCTGCCTCACAAGAGCAAGGTCCCCAGTTCCATCCCTGATACCAAAAAAAAAAAAAGAATTATACAATTTGCCAAGGAATAAAATAACCACTAAAAGTTAATTAAAATCTAAACCCATTAGTTTAAGTGCACTCTTATTTAAGAAAGTTAAAAGCATTTGATGGATTATAAAATCTATTCACCTCAGGTATAGTACTATCAGTCTTCAATCATACCTTTATCAAGGTAGAAATAATTAGAATAATTTAAATGAGAAAAAAAGAGGTTGACTTACAGGAAAATAACAATTAAAACATATATGCTTTTTTATATGATGTGTTACAAATATTCCTTACAAAATACCAAAATTAAGATGTCCTAATCCATGCAGGTGAAATAATTCTTACCCAGGGAAGTAATACTCCCATAAATCTCCTTCCTGTCATCCCTATAAAGAGACTTCTGGGACTGGTCCAAATGTCCCCATTCCTCCAGGATGAAGGACACAGCCACATCAGCCACATCTTCGATTTTCACCAACTTCTGAAACAGGAGATCTCTGCTAAATTCCCACTCCCTGTGATCAAATCTGGAGTGAGGGGAAGAACTGGGAGCATTACAACAGGAAATCAGTGGACAAGAGGGACTCTGCCTCAAAGAGAAGTGGGAAGTATCGGGCAGAAAGGAAAAAGATAAAAGGGAATGAAGGTAATAACCCAAGATGGGCCTGGTCATTGGTCAAAGAAACAGACTTCCTAATAAAAACTTACAATCAAGGCAGCTACCTGTCAGAGAAGGGACGCAGGTCCTCACAGAGGCCAAAGGGGTGCCAGCTCACCTGGGACCCAGCTGAGAGAAGTGAAGCTGTCAGCTCCTGGCCGTCCTTCAGGGGAAGGGAAGGAGCTTGGAGAACAAGAAGGGCTGAAGGAGGAGAAAAAGAGGTATGAGTGAGAATATCTCCATTTAGTTCTCAGTGCTATCATGGGCATCCTCTGCTCACAAATCTACAATGACCCCTGCCAAATTCCTCTGGTTGGCTCTCAAGACCCTCTATATCCTGACCCCAGCCACACTTACCCTCTTATTCCTCCTTTCGCCACAAAACCAGACTTGCTGCTTTGTTCACTAATTTCTGCTTGACCATTCTCCTAGAAAGGATGCATTTCATTCCACTCTGCCTACATCAACTCTATCGGCCTCCAAGAACAGTCTCCCATCTTCCATGAAGCTAAAGCATTCCCTAGAGCACAGGACTTCACAAGCTTTAATGTGGGCCAAAGACTGCGTTTCTAACAAGCTTGAGCAAGTGAAGCAGTCTGGCTGGTCCTTGGACCACACCTGGATTAGCAAAGGTTCTAGCCCAGTCTCTGCCCTCAAGGAATTTCTATGGTTAGCTCATATTCAGTCAAGAGATATATATTAGGTCTACTCTATTAGAGAAATAGTCAGATAAAACTAAACTTGCCCTGTAAAACTCCTATGGAGAGAAGCCTGCCTGCCTTACAACAGTGTGAAAAGTTCTAGAACTGACATTCTGACTTTCCACAGGGGCAGAAGCACCTGCAGACTGCAGGGGAGGCAGGAGCAGCAAAAAGGCCTTTTCTTGGACACTGGCTCTCAGCGGTGGGGGAGAGGGGTGGGAGATGGCAAGCCTTCCAGGGAGAAGAAAGGGCACATGGCCCCTGTCAGTTTCACTTTTTTCAAAATTTCTGGCAGGAACACTTGAGGGCATTTACCAACCAGATAGTCACAGAACTCATCACAGTGGGTTATCAGCACTTTGGCAGAGGAAAGAAGCCCCCACCTACTGTAGAGACCAAACTGACTCCATTTTTAAAAAATGACTCCATTTTGTGGTCAGGCAGCCACCCAGTTACTGGAAAAGCCTCAGAGTGCCCTTTTGACCCAGTTCTCGGAAAAACCCGCGACAGTTCTCGTAAACTATAACCAGGTGTCCTTCTCTATTAATCTTGCAGAAACCTGTGGTTGGGGCCGGGAGGGACATCTGGCCCTGGCCAATAGAATAGAAACACATCTGCCTTTGCCCAATGTTAACCAATCAGGCACTGACCCATCTATAAAGCCCTTAGTTCCGCTTCCTTTGCTGATAAAAAGCCTGTTTAAAATCAGGTTCGGGCTCTCAGTACGGAACTGCTGCGTTGGTGAGGTCCGGGAGTTTAGGCTCCAGACTGCAATAAATTCCTCATGTAATTGCATCAGACTCGACTCCTTGGTGGTCTTTGGGGATATCACGATCTGGGCACAACACTACCACTGCCCCCATCAGATCCAGGTTTAGCCCCAACCTACACCTCTATGTCAGTTTGAAGCAGCTCCAGAAGAGGAGACCTCCACCCAACAACCATTAAAAAAAAGCCTGGAATATTAGATTTCCCTTGCCTTAAGATGGCTGCCACATAGACTAGCACCCTCCATGTTAAAACATGGCTTCTCCCACAAAGAACAAAGGTTTCTTCTTCCCATTATGCCTCTTCTCCCACCAAGAGTAACTTAATACTTGTTACAGCCCAACAGCTAGTGATGTCACAGGCTCCTCCAATCTCTTAATACTACCTCACTCAACTCCACCCAGTTTAGGCTAACACCATCCCACTCTTACAAAAGAAGTTCCCTGTGCTGCCATGTTGCTTTTCTCTTTGTTCAGAGATACACCGGCAGATCCTCCCCATAATGCAGCGGGGAGAATGAGAACATGTGTGACTTTAGGCAGTCCCATCTCTTGAGGCTGGAAACCATATGAGCTTCTGCTGTCACCTCTACTGGCTCTGTCTCAAATCCATGGCACAGCAGACCTTCCTGTCTGTGTTCTTTGACTTACCCAGTATTAATCTTTAACTCAACAGTTTCTTTAATACAGTTTCCAGTATATGTGGCCTGCTTAGTGCCCAGGACTTATTTACTTATGAGAACCAGGAAATCAGCAGTGACACAAAAAAGAGAGGACACTGGTGAGAAATAGAAGACAAAAACAGAAATCTGAACCAAGAATGGCTGAAGAGTCTAAACAGGACTTGAAAAACACACTAAATGGTCCACATCTGTGTGAATACTCAATTGTTGAAATCAAGAAACTGGTTTATTGGCAGAGAAGACAAGAAACAACAAGAAACAGAAGAACACTAGTAAGACCAGGAAAATGGAGGAACATGACTGATTTAAGGATGGCCATCAGTACATGGGAAATATGGTGGAAAAGCAAAGATGAGATGGTCAGAATAGGGCAGAAGTCTAGATTTAGGTGGGCAGTTGAATAGACACTTCTCAGATGAAGCAGAAACAGCAAATAAATATATGAAAAAATGCTCAATATCACTGGTCATTCAAGAGATGCAAATTAAAGCAATGCTGAGATTCCAGCTGACTCCAGAAAGAATGACTATTATCAAGACATCAACTAAATAACAAATGCTGGCAGCCAAGAAGTGAAAAAGGAACCCTTTTCCACTGTTGGTAGGAGTGTAGACTGGCACAACTCTCCAGAGTAGAGATTCCTCAAAAAACTAAAACTATAGGTTTCATTTGACCCAGCTATTCCCCTTCTTGCTATCTTCCCAGATGAATTAAATCATTTTACCACAGAGATATATGCACATCCATGTTTATAGCAGCACAGTTTGCAATAGCTAAACCTTGGAAACAGCCCAATTGCCCATTAACCAATGAATGGATAAAGATGTGGTTTTTTTTATACTCTGCCATAAAGAAGGATAAGCTTGAGACATTTTTAGCTAAATGGATTCACCTTGAGACCATACTCTTAAGTGAAATAAACAGGACACATATGTTTAAATACTGCGTTTCTCTAGTATAAGAAATGGAAACTGTAAATAAGGACCAAAATGTATAACAGGTATTGGGAAATGGGAAGAAAATGTTCAAATGAGAAGGGGAACAAAAGGGAGGGGAGAGGGGGAAAGTAAACAAGGAACAAGAAAAACAAAAGAATAGAAGGAAAAAATGGTACAAATTCTCTATGATGAATGTGATCACTATGCATATGTAAAATGTGCCAGGGCCTGGGATTTAGCTCAGTGGTTCGGTGGCCTGCCTTGCAAGCACAAGGACAGGAGTTCAATCCCCGGTACCAAATAAATAAATGAATAAATAAAATGTGCCCCCAAAAAAGTCTAGATTTGGAGTCAGAGCACTTAAATTAAAACCTTGGCTCTGTTACTTATTAGCTTTGGGAACTTGGACAAGTTAGTCAGACTCTTAGGCCTCATTTTTCTTTTCTTTTCAATTTATCTGTGTGTGAGAAGGGAGGATTGAACCTAGCATCTTCACACTGAGCTACATCCCCATCCCTTTTTGATAAAGAATCACTGGTTTCTGTTTGTTTTGTTTTGGAGATAAGGTCTTGCTATGGTGCCCAGGCTAGCTTCAAACTTCCAGATTCAAGCAATCCTTCTGCCTCAGTCTCTCAAGCAGCCAGGCTTACAGGCATGCACCAATAGTAAGAAATATGTGTATACCAACAAAGTCTACTGCACATTGTTTTAGTTTTTGAGCTTCTTTATTGAACAGTTTTAAATATTTTGTTTCACTTTGTTTTGAGATAGAGAATTACTGTGCAGTTAAGGCTGGCTTTGAACTTGTGGCAATCTTCTTGCCTCAGCCTCCCAAGTGCTGGGATTGCAAGAGTGCACTACCATGCCTGGCTTTAATATTTGTTAAGGTTAGTATGATATAGTATTTATTGTTTTTGAAGTCTTCTCAAGAAAAGAAATTTACAAATAGACTAAAATTCTGCATGATCAATTGGACATGTACACAAATCTAAGATACAGTTTGGGATCTACATCTTAGTTTTCCTATGCCTTGAAATATTTTTCCATTTTATCCTAAAAATTATTTCACTGCTACTCATCACAATTTCCTTAATTATTCCCAACAATGCCATAAAAAAAAAACTGAAGTAATGAGAATGGAAGAATAAAGGAAACATTTAGGATTACAGAATAGTGAAATAAATCATCATTCTTTACCCTTCTCAAAATACTACATATGTTGCCCAAAGCACCACTTCATTCTTCAAGCAGGTAGAAAAGAAAGCTGTTGACACCTGTTTAGTTTTCATTCAACACAACTGAGAACGCACAATTTTTCATTTGCTGCCCAAACTGCCAAAAAATGTACAGAAGACATTTACTAGGCAATTCAGAAGATGACAGAGACAAATATCAGTACTCTCTAATGATAACAATAATGATGACAATAAGGAAAACCTCAGCTTAAGTCTTTAAATGATAACATCCTACATAAATTTTCTCAAATTCAAGAATCAACAATGCTGCCTGGCATGGTGGCACACTTGTAATCCCAGGACTCAGACGCTAGGGCAGGAAGATCACTGCCAGGTCAAGGCCAGCCTGGGCTATACAGTGATTTCAAGGCTGGCCTGAATTACATAGTGAGACCCTATCTCAAAACAGTAAAAACAACAAAGAATCAATAGTAAACAACATATTTCTACTTTCAAAAAGGAAAGTCACTCCAGTGAGTGACTGAACAGGAAGGACTGTCCCATATGACATTTCACAAGGGGCCGGGGATTTAGCTCAGTGGTTCTGCTGCCCGCCTCCAAGCACAAGGACCCGAGTTTGATCCCCAGTGCCAAAAAGAAAAAAAGAAAAAAAAAAAAAAAAAAA